TACGTAAATTATTCTAACCGAGAATACAAAACTCAACTGTACTCCTGAATAAATCAGTGAATGTATTTAATGCCTTACAATATGCTTGTATTGAATGATTCATCGGCTCTTCTTGAATATTATTTTGTTTGTATTTTTCACTTCATCTGAAATATTATTGTATAATTTGGATGCTAAGTAGACAAACGTTCTATATGCCTGGTAGTTTTTATCATGAAAGGAAAAGTAGGATCTGTCCCATGTTCCATATTCATGTGATAAGAGCTTAATATCATTTTATAGTATGAAATGTAATTTTCGAACATGATCGTTACTAATTTCATAAACTACCTTACAGTGTTTTCGGAAATCCCAAAACATTCGAAAAATATTTGGGAAAATATATTTCAAATTTTATTTTCAATACGATTAATTTAACTACACATGAAATATTCAGAGTTCAAAGGAGTCAAACATCAGGTTCGTTCCCTGTTTCAAGGCAAGAGCATTGTTTTTAAAATGAAACAGCATTACCAAGGTGAACAGTGACAACAGAATTCCACTGTTAGCTTAAGTCATTAAGGTACTAACACTTCAGTCAACAGCAACGCATCAACAAGAGAAGCGAACTACGTGAGTCAACATAAATACAACCTACGAACTAGAAAGCACCAGTCATCGGTGAATCATCAAGATGAATAAACCTCTGAAGAAACCAGCCACTCATGCTGGCGAAACGTTAGGATGCAGTTCCAAACTACAAAGGCCTTCAAATCAAAATGAAGATATTGTTATAATACGCTTTTATTGACAAAAAAAGAAATAGGTAATGCATATGAACAGATACATTACCTAAGTTGGTATATAAAGAAATAGATCAAACTACATTATGGTGTACTAGGTATCTTCATTGGAATAGTGAGTACTTGAGCCGGGAGAAATTACAAAAAGTTTCTATCCATCGTTCTTATGGAAGTTGCAGACTCACAATTATACGATTTTATAGGTACGTGCGGCAGATACCCGACGGAAAAACAACAAATAACCCAGCTAAAGTCTCGCAGAAAGCTGAAGAAAAACCATCAGGCGCCTGTGCAACGTCTTTCATCAGAAATATTCGTCGCAAGTAAATGAATTCCAATACATGAGCTGAAATCAAATTCATTTGGTCGGAATGACCACCGGTGACGGCAGAAGATGCTATCATATAATCCAGTGTTTCTTAAATTGTGCGCCGCGGCGCCCTGGGGCGCCGTGGAATCTTAACTGTGGGGCCGTGGGCCACGGGTGTGTCTCAAGGTACAACGTTTTACTACATAGATAACTGAGAGTGAAGGTCATACGTCGGTACCTATTAATAAAAATCCTTTGGTAATATGATAATATCGGTAATTGCAAAATGCATTCCGTTCAGACAGCCACCTGCCTACTTTTATTAATTAAATTTTTAGTATAGTCTTTACGTTCGGGGCGCCGCAATAACCTTCAAAAAACAAAAGGGAGCCGTAAATTCGAAAAGTTTGAGAAACACTGCTATAATCCTATAGCGAAACACGTGTCGTGTAAATTTTCAAGTGAAAATCTCACATTAAAGTGTGTTTTTTTAATACGTTATGAGGAATGTTCATCAAGTATCGATCACTTCTATCATTCTAATAAAAATTGATGAAAATAAATAATTAAAAAAGATGCAAAAAAATAAGAATAAATATTTCAAATGAAACTAATTCATGACGTTTCGATTGTTATAATTTTTTTATTGTTCACATATTATTGACCTCAACTAATGATTCGATCCATACAATTATTCCTTTTTATTTCAGGTCACAATAATTTGTTTCCTTCACATTTTTTTTTTTCAAATTTCATACTTATTGTTCATTTACATTTTGTTTAACAACCTTTTTTTAAACCCATCATGTTTTTCATATTTCCTTGCAAAAAGGAAACTGCAATTCCTAAGACAAGTCAAGATCAAACATCCATCTCGCAGGTACTTCATTTAAATGTTGTCTTTACCTCTTGCCTTTCCAGCGCTCTCTGACGGCCTCGCCGATGGTGGCCCTCATTGACGTTTTTATTCCAAGATACTTTGATATATTCTCTGAGGATATATTCTGAGTGACACATAACAAATGTGACTTTTGACACAGAATGGTAAACAATTATTCTGTGTTTTTGATTAGATGACTTACACAATTCTAACACTTCTGTGTCAGATATGAGATGAGATGCGTGCTATTTTTTGGTAAAACGTAGTTCACTTAAATTTTTTCACGTAATTCGGCGATTTTTTCTCAAATCTTCGGATTTCAAGATATTTGAAGTGACAAGGTTTCAAATTAACATTCTGCTTCAAACATAAGTGTTGTTTGTAATTTTGATTTGATTCAAATCGCACGTATCTTCATTACTGGTACCAAAACGACGTACCTGAATAATTTTTTCATATAAAGTATATATTTTATTTCAATATGATATGAGGTTCTGAATATAATTAGAGAAATATGCATTTTCATTCAATTTGAACATCTTTTTAGTCCTGGATTCAAGCATATTCATCTTCATTCCTTATTGTTTCTGTTGATGTAGTAAGCAGTTCAAAGTTGTATTTTTTCATCACTTTTCCTTTCTCGTCAATCACTTTTTCACAAACAATACACGAAACTGAAATACCTATAATATTTCCATCCACAAGTATATTTGTATTTGAATTTCAATCCAGTAATTTTCATTACCTCATATGTAATATATTCAAAATTTGCTCTCACAAAATTTGGAAAGGTCCAAAGAAGTTACACGGACACTGAAACATGGAATGGTGTCGTTGATGAGAAAATGATTGCCCTGAACTAGGACGGTTGCTGACAGAAGAGAAAACATCAGAATTAAAAGTATTTCGAGCCATCACAATCGAAGATAATCTGACGGCATGGATTTGAATTGCATTCAACAAGGAGAAAACAAAATATTCTGCCCTTTTATATTTTGTGTAGGGGAGAGTGTTCCACAATCAGACACAAAATAGGTTTTGCTAAATATTAACCTTATTTATTGAGCAAACGAAAATATGATTGTCACTAATACAAATTAAGGCCGTGCATAAAGTTATAAAGTTTTATGGTAGTACATACATCATTACCCAAAAAAATAATTCAAAAAAAGTTTGTTTAAAAATGAAATGACAGTTGTCTGATTGTGGAAAATACATATGTTCCACATCAGACACGGCATGTTCCACAATAAGACAAAAGTTTTAGTACTGTTTTAACGAACTTCTAAGGCTGAAAAATTAACTTCAAATTTGATTGTTGCCGTTTTGTTGTTCCCACGTGTGATGGTTTTGGTAACACCATCTTAATGTTTTCCAAGCATACCAAAGAGACGTCTTCTATTTTGGGGTAAATGAAGCTATTATCATACTTAACGGACTTTCTCAGAAATTTAACTTCACATTCCTTATCTCTTTTATATAATACTTCAGCTATGTAATACAATTTTTTTTTGTCTAGAAGACAAAAGACAGGTGGATTGATTTCTCCTACAAAATCAATATCATCATCAGAATCTTCAGTTACAAGCATCGCCGCGTTCTCATTTTCTTCGTCTGTTGAGTCTTCATCGAATCCTACTTTTTTTTCATGATATTTTTCTTCTTCAAGCTTTTTTTTCTCTCTCTATCTGTTCCAGGGCGATCTTTTCTGGAGTGTCGGTGGCGATAATACTTTTAGCTTTTTCTCTCTTCTTTCTCCGATTCTTTCGTTATTCAGCTTCTGGGTATCCTTTGAATTCTTGCGGACTTACAAAAGTTTCTGTGTTTTGATTTTGTGTGGGAGTTGTGTGTAAATTGACTGATGCTGAAAGTGAGGAGACTGACATAATGTTGATGGTTGATTGGGATCTATATGTGGTCGGGCTTCTTCATTGTTTTGATCCAATGATTTGAACGAAAAAAACACAGAGACATCTAACGGTTGCATCCTGTTGGAAGTATGCGATGGTAAGGTCAAAATGCGTCAATCTGAGTATGTTCAATGAAGTGCCTCACAACGCTTGGAAACAACTCACGAGTCATTCTTCCAGAGTCGGAAACTAATCCCAAAGTACCATGCGGTGCTCCATAAGTCAATTTTTTAACGGCACGAATTATGTTCCACAATCAGACAGCGTCTGATTGTGGAACACAGATGATGTCTGAAGGTGGAACTTAAACCGTATTACAAAATTAAATTCAACTGTGAACTCCATAAATAACCTACAAAAGTAAACTGGCTCATAAAATGTCAATAAAATAGTCCAAAATCTGATCAACAGATTGTTTTTGTACTACTAGTTCCAAAAGAAAAATTAAGGCTCATAATATCAAATCAAGGATAGAAAAAAATTACCTAGGAAAACAAGTTTTTTGTTGAAAAATGCTCAAATCCAAAAGAATAGCGTTACAACTTTGTTTACCAAAGCTGCGTGTGTAACCCTACTATCCAAACTCGCGGCTAGAATTTCAAAATGACTGCTTTGTCTGATTGTGGAACATGTCTGATCATGGAACATTGTTCCCTACCAATTACTCATCGATCGATTGGTGCTATACCTATATTTTTTTCAAAAATGATCTTTCTATGCCTTCGTAGGAAAGTTTCAAAGCCAGGAAATTGAACAAAACAGTAAAACATATGTAATTTGTTGCATTGCCGCATTACCTTTGATAATGTGTGCCCCAGTTTTAAACAAAACGACAAGCCCAAAAACCTGATAATGAACCAGAAAACAACAAATATTTTGCCAGAAAGCGCCAGTGAAAACCTACACACCATGCATGATAATTTGATTTATTAGTTTATTTTTTGTTACTTTGTTCACTGAATTACATTCCGTAAAATTATATGCACCGAATGTATGTTTCGCGCTTTTAAATCTGTTTCGCGCTTTTTAGATATTAACCTCTCTCAAAACAACTTTATTGAAATGGCAATACTGGTAGTGACTACTGTGACTAATGATTGTATTATTGACTAGTGACAGTGACACTAGTGACAGTAGGTGTAACTCGAAGTATAGTTGAAAATTGCATTGTGTAATTTATGTTTCTGATTTTCAAATAGTAAATTCAGCTAGAAATTGTTTTTTTTATGTAAAATGTCCAAAATCAACGATAGAGATAGAGCTCCTAACTACCAAACTTACAAATTAGTTATCGTAGGTGGAGGTGGTGTCGGAAAATCTGCTATAACTTTGCAATTTATACAGGTGAATTGTTGTTTATGTGTAATTCATCAAATTGTTTTTTCCAAATTTGTTTAAAAACTACTATTTCCTTTTATTCGCAATCCTATAACGGTGTTTTTGATGTCTTTATATGGCAAGCTAAATTCAGTTCATAACCTTGTAAGTAGCCTACACAATAGATATTTTTATTTATTTTTTCAGAGCTATTTTGTGACTGATTATGATCCCACTATTGAAGATTCTTATACTAAACAATGTGTAATAGATGACATACCTGCCAAATTAGATAGTGAGTATTAATAAGAAATTGTTGATTATTGAGTTTATTTTTCTATAAATAAAATTATAAGTTGTGTACTGACACAGACCCTGTCTTGGATAAATTCATTTGATAAAATTCATGGTTATAAATTAATATACCTACCTATTCGTTTCAGTTTTGGATACTGCTGGTCAAGAAGAATTCAGTGCAATGAGAGAACAGTATATGAGATCAGGTGAAGGATTTCTACTAGTATTTTCTGTAACAGAAAGATCAAGTTTTGATGAGATTTATAAGTTTCACAGGCAAATTTTGAGAGTTAAAGACAGAGATGAATTTCCCATGCTTATGGTTGGAAACAAGGTAAATAGAATTTTGCATGGAACATTTACCTTCATATTAATAATTGAAAGGTGAAATCATTTTGTTTCTAGATCTTTATTTTTATTCACCCTAGCTTTGATGAAAGTCATTATAATTATTAGTACTTTGAATTAAATATAATTTCCTTGTTTTTAGTTATCTTATATTTTTGGTTATCCCAGTTTCTTATTAATTTTTCTCTAGGCATTTCCATCTTGGAGCACATCTCTTTTCGTTTAGAATAGTTTTTCGAAAATATATTTGACATAATGCTGGTGACATTAACTCATATCACTCGGATTTTTATTTAGGTTGACCTTGAACATCAAAGAGCAGTTTGGCAAGAGGAAGCTCAACAATTAGCTAGGCAGCTTAAAATACCTTATATAGAATGTAGTGCAAAGATGAGAATGAACGTCGACAATGCTTTTTATGAATTGGTACGAGTTGTTAGAAAATTTCAGCTCTCCGAAAGACCACCTCTGAAACCCAGCTACATCAAAAGGAATAACAAAAAGTGCTGTGTGCTTTAATTTATATTTTGGGACTATAGGCTTATACATCACATTTTTCTTGAGGGCAATTTTTGTGATTTTTAAGGACACAGAAAAAATAATATTTTTAAGATACATTTTAATTATTTTATGTTTGCATTATTGAGTTTCATTGCATGTGCCATCAATTACTTTCAGTTATTTTAACCACTTGTCTTCCATTTTTATGTAGGTATTGTCCCTCAATTGATATGCACTTTCATTTACAATGCAAATCAATCTATAATTCATACCTTTACCAATATCCATGTGATTTTTTTTTATTGGTTTATATTGTTTTAATTGACATATTTTTGCTTTATTGAGAAGGAAATATTTTTAGGAAAGATTAGTTTTTGGGGAAAAAAGCTTTTTGGATTTCTATTTCTACATCTTTAAACAATGAATGTGAAGAACTTCCAAAGAAAGGAAGGAATAAAATAACTACAATAAAAACTCTTTATGAAGGTATGCAGAGCATGGCGAAAGTTTTCTTTCAGATACAAGGAAATAACCCTCACAATTACTTTCATATGAACATTGTCATTTTATCAAAACTCTTTCTTTTATTACGTTGTGTAGCTTTCCTATGAGTGATATCTGTTTCATTCTTATGAACTAATATTTGGAGAAGAATTTAGAAATATGGTGGCTAGTGTTAGTAGCAAACAGAGATTAAAATTTTTGTGTACAGCTCATCTTGAGTTCAATAACTTGACCCAGAACAAAAAAATCATCGTAAATGAGATGAATATGCATGATAAAGTTCTCAAGGAATGAAAAACAATTTACAGAGAGGTAAACAACTTTTCTCAACTAATTTTGTGAATTCTAAAAAATATTTAGTATTTTTTGACAAAGTTTTATACAAGAACATGTGTATTTATTTTGAATGTTTATATATACATACTGGTATCTATATTATGAATATTTACATATATCAAGACATTACGTAATTTGAATGATCATATAACTGCTTACTTATGCAAATATGTTATGGACCATAAAAATACCTCAAATTTGTTGATTTTAGGTTACTGATGATGAATACTTAAAATTTGATACTCCTGGTATCATTTCATATTTTACATAAGTCAGCCTTATTTGCTCCATTTTTACAATAAATTTATTTATTCTATCATTTGTTATCGCTTATGTTGACAAGCACAACTAGAAATAATAAAACTACTCAACACGTTGCCCGCCGTAATATGGGTTTCACCACACAAGTCAAAAATTTTACCCCTCGGGCCAAGGTGCGCAGAGATACTTTTATAAGAGCAGTAATGTCTCATCTACACTTTTCATACTTCCTTATTTATATATGTGATGGAATCGGCCGATACTTGATAAAAATCCATAACGTATTCAAGAAACTTTATTTTCATCAAACAGTTTTACAAAAACGCATTAAGTGTTTCGCTATACAATATCTATATACTATAGGCACGCCTGAAGAAGCTAAGTGTTTCTTAATTTACTTATTTATACTAAAATTGCCAAAAAATTTCTTGTTATATAGACCGAGCCAGTGTATTTGAATATTTGACATAGTACTCACCTGTACGCTGTCACCATTCTAATTAGAACGTATGAACAATTGTCTAGATATTGACACTCAAAAGTTAGTTAATTGTTTATGGTGGTCGTTAGTGAAGTAATATGAATTAAAGGGAAAGTCTTCTGTATTTTTCAAATATAAAAATTGAATCCTAAAAACTGGACTACTGCAATCTTTAAGCTCGACAGACTGAGCTTGGAAGATGCGATCAACTGTCAGTCATATTGACCAATGCTGCACTCTGGTCATGAGAAAGTTCCCGGTCAAATTGTCTTCTGTGGGCTGAGCGAGACTTTTTTATCTGTCAAATAGACCAAGACGGCGGCCAACGTGTTGATACTGTACTAATTTTATTTGATAGACTTGGAAAATATCTCATCTAGTCTTGTCACAAATTATCTTACAATTTACTTTTCCAAGATATTCATCACTGCCAGATTCAAGTTAGGCAGTTTGGTTTAATAACTGAATAGTGTCAATTAATACATTTAAAAATAAATTAAGCTTATATGAATACTAATTGAGAATTTCCTAACATTTTTCAGAAATGTATATTGATTGTCGTACATTTAAGTAAGGAATGTATCCAAAATGTGAGCTTGAAACATAAATATATAATAATAATTGAAACAATGTTTTACTACTTTAATTGTATTTTTCCTCTCCTGATAAATACTTTTGCAATTCAAAGACTTCATCTATTTTTTATTAATATTTTATGTGTAGTTTGTGAAATCAGGCATCTTCACATGAAGAAATTAGATTTTTTAAGGTGATAATCCATGATTCAGTATAAGTTTATAATCAACAAAAATGTATCACTGCTATGCTATTACATTAACTCATATTCAGTGCACTGAAGATGGTTTTTTAGAGTGAAAAAGTCCCATCATGGCATCTTGTAATGCTCGTTTACAAGCTATGTTTGACTGAAAGCCACCAGCTCTTTCCTGTTCTGTTTCAGCCCTAACATTATCAAGAAAACCTTTTTCAATAATGTCTGTATCACTAGGAGGTCTTGGTCCATCAGTGATAAATGTAGTAGATTTGTAATGGTACAAAGGGCCATCGTCTGCTGGTACTGGTAAAAAGGATGTTTGGGGTTGCCTTCCAAATTGTATCCCTGTTGAAAACTGAGTGGCCTTCACCACAGGTTTTCTCATTTCTTCTTCTTTCAATTGCTGTACTTGCTGTGCAAAAGTATCAACAATATTTTTGGCATCTGCATTCGAAAACATGAGCTCATCTATAAGAGCTTCTTTCTCTCGTATTTTCTTTTTCTTAGCTTCTAGTTCTTGCGCAAGAATCTCTTTCTTTCGTTCTTCCTCCATTTGTTTCTCAATTTCTAACATCTCTTCCAATTCATATTCATCTCTTCCCAATTTTCCTTTGCTTTTCATAATTTGCTCCCTGTTGTCCCTTTTGTACTGTTCAATTTTCTTATTGGTATTGGCTACATCTATATCATTTGATAAATTATAAATTATGGTTTCAACCTCTTCAAGGTAATTATTGTAATCGGCGAGAGAGTTAAAGTCATCCTCCTTTTTATTATAATCCCGCAACACCCTTTTTCTTATATCTACTTCTTTTTCTACAGTTGAATCTTCAAATAACTGAATTCTGAAATTGTTTCTGCGTAGAGGTATTCTGCATTCTGGGCAAGAACCAGCACCTTTCAAGAATAGAAGATCTACACAACTTTCACATAACCCATGTCCACATACATTCACCATCATTTTCAAAGAAGGATTTTGAAATTTGGACGTCCTGCATCTCGGACAAATGAAATCCTCCATTGTGACCGTTTCAATAGAAAAGACTTCAACAAATAATAATTTATTGTGTTTCTTATAGACCTTTCTAATTCATTTCGGCGGCAATAATGACAAATAATGATTGACCTCAATCAAAACATATGACATAACCACAAACTCACACCATAAACCAGAGGTGTATTCTGATTCTGACGTTTGATCATATTCGAACGTATGCAAAACCGATTCGTAGTGACGTCAATAATAATATTCGCCAGAATGGAATGATTCAATTCGTGTTAGATGTCAAAATCAATAATAAAAACAAACTTTTCTATTTTATCTAACTCCAATTAGAATCAAATTTGTGCAAGTAATAATTTCCCAGCTTTATTTTTTTCATCCTTAAAACGTATTTGGTAAAAACTTTTCAGCATTTTATGAACTATAAAAAAATAAATAGATACCTTTTTCGTATCAATCGGTGGACTCATAGTTAAGAACGCATAAATCATGATCGATGAACTTATTCCTTATGGAAACAAGGAAACGCCACCTATAGAAACTTGAAGGAGCCATAAAAAACTAAATTATCTTTCCACTATAGGCCATATCGGATACGAATATGTTAGTGCCGTATGAATCAACATCAAAATTATATGAAAAATTATTACCTCTCAAATTTAGATTATTTGACTCGTTTCAGATGAAGCATCATGTAATATATTTGTGAAAATATATCTTTCATCATATCGCTTTTAATAGTTAACTATATACAATGAAAGTTTTTTTGAATTTTTTTAATATTGGCACCATTTGATTCCATGAGAAATGACAATTTTGATACAAGTACTCCCTGTTTTTCATATTGAAATTTATCAGATAGGTGTATCCTATTTATAATTGAAACTTGAAACTCATAGTTTCGGATTTCATTTGAAGGACACGTATGTTTTCTATGTTGAATCTGAGTTGAATACTTTATGTATCTGTCATTAGTGTCACCTGACATCTGTAGATGTTTTTATTTTCAATTTTGAGTTTAATTTGCTAATTTTCATTGTATCCATTTCATTTTCCATATTGAAATTTATCAGGTAGGTGTATCCTATTTATAATTGAAACTTGAAACTCATAGTTTCGGATTTCATTTGAAGGACACGTATGTTTTTTATGTTGAATCTGAGTTGAATACTTTATGTATCTGTCATTAGTGTCACCTGACATCTTTAGATGTTTTTATTTTCAATTTTGAGTTTAATTTGCTAATTTTCATTGTATCCATTTCATTTTCCATACCAATAATGTTTTTGTCAGCAGCACATGTAGTTTTTTTGTGTTAACTACTATGCGTATTTATCATTGTAACTGTTGTCATGTGTAGTTGAAGTTTATATTGTCACGTTCTGAGTTTTATCTGCTGTTTCCATTATATTAATTTCTCATTAGCATTCTCGAGATTTAAAGAAGTTAACGACGTGAACAATTTATTTATCAACCGACACTAATGACAAAAAAGCAGAGTGACCAACTCTGGAAAAATACATTTTCTCCAGATTTTTATATAATTATCTTATAAAAGCCGTATAAATTTAAAAAAACTATTGTTAGATATAATCAAGTTATACCCAATGTAAACCAAGTAAAATAGTTGAGATTCTTGAGGCAGCAGTCTTTCCATGTGATTTTAAGGTTGTCAATTGAAATGTATTATGAAATTTTATAATTATTATTCTATAATTATATTGACTCACATAGTTAGGAAACATTTTTCAAATAAAAATTTTAATTTTGAACAATGTCACGTTCTTGACACATTTTTAAAAAACGAAATCTCTTTTAGTTTCGTCTGAATTTTTTTTATCATATAGTTTCAGTCAGGTTGGAAAGGTTAGTTTAATTCGAATTTTGTTTTATAAAAAACATGAGCTCGAAGTAAACCTTCCAGGCGTTTGCTGCCTTCAGACGCTAATACATAACAAATTACCATTTTTTGAAGAGCCTTCAGAAACCCCGATAGGTGTCCTTGAAATTCTCTGCAGCTGCAACCTTGTGATTCGTAATGAAGTGAGATATCCATGAAAAGTTACCTTTAAGTTTCAAATCAATAAAACGTCAGCCATCTGTCAAAGTGTGGTAAAAAAATCTGGACCTGTTTTTTATTCTTATTCATCTTGAGTTGCGTGTCGTGTGTCTTTGTGCATATTTTTCGGTTACGCGAGGTTCCATAGTTCTTTCCCTTCTTCTTTAGTGAATGTTATAAACTCTAAACTTATCCCCAGAATGGGGGACTCGTTAGAAGGGACGGAGTCGTCTTCCGAAACGCAAAATGTGGCACTTGTCGATTTTACAGCATTCACAAATTTCATTCTTAAAGCAGCAACCGTTCTCCTTCCGGAAGATGATGGTCAAGCGGAACCCACAAATTTGGTAACGGCTCTTGATGATAAAGTCAACCAGGAATATATTAGAAAATTTATAAGTGATCCGCAAGTAACAACCTTGTATATACAACGGAATTCATCAAAAGGTAATGAATGACTCATCTGATTTGCATACCTAGTAATACTTATTTGTAATGAAATAATATAAAAAATCGTTAGATTGTTGGCAGCAGTAACAGTATTGCCGGTGGATATAAATTGATTTGTCAGATGACGTAATTTGCAGGATTTGTTTCACTTTAATTTAAAAAAAAGGTCCTATCAGTGTTATAAACACATTTATTCTGTTGCTCATCCATATTATTCCAAATCCATGCTAAATTTTGAAGGGAGGTTCATATAATACCTTTTAAAAATGTATGATTTTTTCAGTTCTGAAATAGGTACTGTAGTAAAAAATGTGTTTCAACCTTATTCCATAGTAAGCTAAGTGGGGAGAAAAAGAAATTTCCTAGTATTTATTGAATTGAATTAACAATACAGGATTATATTATTTTTCATATTGCCAGAATCATCTAAATGTTTTATAATTAACATGGATACTTTTACACTTGACTGAGAATTAAAACCTCCTATGTTTTCATACCATTTTAAATGTAACCGAGGTTATTGCAGTTTTGTCCCACAAGGAAATTTTCAAACGAATACAATAGATAACATGAAAATGAAGGATTGTAGAATGAAACTGCAGTAACGTTAGTTACAAATAAATGTAGTATGAAGACATAGGAAGTTTTTATTCTTGTTTTTCATGATGATCTCCTACCACATAGTAGCGGATACATCCATCAATTTCACATTTGACTGTTTGCTCATATTGATTATTCTACTTGTGATTTCTTATTCAATTATCTATACTTTTTTTGAATTTTAATTTCAGTTCTCAATACCTAGTCACCAACTTAATGTTCACTGCTCATATAACAATTTCTTGTGTTTTCTTATTCAATATTACATTATTTTGTTAAATTTGTTTCTTTAGTTAATTTAGTTAATCCCTATTCATAANCCTTACAATAAAATTTTAACTGATCACTAACTAATGAATCAAAAATTTTTGCAAGTGAAGACAGACTACAGATACTTCGATAATTTGCCACATTTTGTTTATCACCAGATTTAAAAATAGGCCGGATAAAGCTGTGTTTCCACAGGTCAGGAAATGAACTAGAATCTAATGAGCACTTGAAAATAAGAGATATGGGATATGTTAAGGTACAGATACATTTTTTGAAAAAATACTCGGGAAAGCCATCAGGTCCACAATTCAGTTTGTCTTTGAGATTGAAAATTTTATTGAAAATGTCTTCCACTGACACATATAAATCTGGTATATCATACTCAACTAATTCTGAAAAATTATTAACATCTATATCAGCAGAAGAAGAATACACAGTAGCAAAAAAGTTTACATAATCATACATTCCAAATAATCAAGGTAAATAAAAAATACATACATACAGGCACACACACAAACTTGGTGGAGGAAAAGTAAATTCAACTATAATTCAAAATTACATCATAACAAACTACAACACTAAATATAGGAATATAGGCTTTAACGGCTGGTGTCATTGTTTTGGTTGGTTCCGGGTTTTTCCGTGATCTTCCTTGGTTACAATATCCAAACGTTGCAACTGCGGCAGTCATCATCAGTCGCGTGGTCGAAGTACTCTTCTTGACGTATCAATCAGTTTCAGTTGATACGTCAAGAAGAGTACTTCGACCACGCCACTGAAGATGGCTGTCGCAGTTGAAACGTTTGGAGATTGTAACCAAAGAAGACCATGGCAAAACCCGGAAATCAACCATAACAACAATACTAGCACAGAAGAAAATAATACTAACATGAAATAGTTCACAAGATTTATTTGAATACTGTTACTGCTCAACATTCAAAATCAAAATAAAACTTGCACTCTATCTATTTTAACTTCTTGATAACTAGAATAACCTCACTTTTTGATATTCTTTCAAATCATAAATAGCCTATCTTATGATGTTCTACATTTTCTTCATTTCATTACTTTATTGTTGCACATATAGTTTTACTTTGTTCAACCAATTGTAGGACATGTTTCACTGAATATTGTATTAAGCACCAATTGATATTAGGCTCTGATATTAAAAATGTTCTTATTCAAACTATATACAAATCTCTTACCTCTCCCAACAATAAAAGAAAGGTAAATTTATTCTCAGTCCTGTATAGTTGATTTCTCCTATTTATTATATAAATTTCGAACAAAATATACTACATGTTGTATTTCATATTTAAATTATGTTCAGATGATGACAGCGATCAGCCACCCGAAGGTGAAGAAGAAAAAGAACCGGTCATGTACTATGTCAGCAACGAGGTTCACTATTCCAACTCCAAAATGTCCAGTCTGGTATGCATCAAAAGAGGTCCAGTTGTTGAAGCAGACAAAAGTATTAGAGCTCAGGTTAGACTGATGAATTTTAGTGAAGGATCACCATATGAAATTTTACATGACTATGTTAGCAGAACTGTCGCTCCATTTTTCAAATCATATGTTAAAGAGTCAGGAAGAGCAGACCGGTAAGTATAAGTGGATGAATGAAAAGTCTTTTCAACTCATTTATCAAATTTTTCACAATATTGAATTTGTAGTTTTTTCACAATAATAATTCGACTTTTTTCCACAGAAAGGGTGGTGTGTCAGCAAAATTGTTTTTCAACTCAAACACTACTTGATCTTTACACAATAGCATCACAAATTTAATAATTTAAAAAATTAGATATCTTGAAATGAACACAATAATGATCCTATGGGCAGAATGCATAATATTGATCAGGATTACTAATTAATATTAAATATGTTTAAAATGTTTTTCCGTTAACCAGCTGGCGCACCCCTACGAACGACAACCCTCAGAATTCGAAACTTGTGCGATCTAAGCAGTTTTAAGTTCATTTGACATCTGCTTTACTCAACCAAAAGTACATAAGTATGGGCGAATATGCAGCAAAGCGAATTTTGATAAATTCAGAGAATCAGCAAGTTTTTTACAGTGGAATAACATACTAGACCTAGAGAAACCTTTCCAATCTTTTCATGAACATCTTGTAACACTTTTCCATAAGTCCTTCCCTTTACAAAAACTTTGGGGCAAGCGTAAAACAAAGCAATGGTTGACGGCTGGAATCAAAACATCATCAAAAAATTAAAGATGCCTGCATTATATCAGAAAATACACTAACGCAGCTTTTTTCTACACATACTTCACTAAGTATCGAAGGATCTACAGGACAACTATTGAATTAGCTAAGGAAAGTTTTTACAAAAATAAAATTAATGAATCTGATAATAAATCCAAAACCAGCTGGAATATTATAAATGATCTAAGAGGCCAAAACTACACTAGCAAATCAGATACTACTCTACTACACCAAATGAATTTAATGAGTATTATTGCACTGCTGCCAGTAAAATAACACAGAGTATAACAAAAAATACTGACTCGATGAAATACTTTGGCAACTTTACCATTTCTCAGTCAATCTTATTTTATGATACGGATGTGAGTGAGTTAAAAGAAGTCATGTCATTAATTACAAATAAAAAANGATATACAATACAACGATTTTACTTTTGCTGTAAATGGTTTATCATTTTTATTTTAAACTGTTGCAGAGTTTCTGATTTCTTTATATCATCTGGCAACCTGTTGTAAGCAATGAATCCCTTGAACACCAAGGTTTTAATATTGTAAGCTTTTGTTTGCCTAGTCACATGTAAGTTATGTTTACTTCGCGTATCATGCTGGTAAACTTGCGTATTGATAGTTATATATTTGTGAAAATATGATGGAATTATAAATAATTAAAAAAATCGTGAAAATTAGAATAACAAAATTCTTAAAAAAACATAGTTTATCACAAAATCAATACGGATTTCAGGAAAAAAAACTCGAGTGATGTCATCTTTTCATTTCTCCAAGAAATATACACAAATGTCAACTGCGGGGAGGCTGCAGCCGCCGTGTTCTGCGACTTCAGCAAAGCTTTTGAGTGTGTTGATCATCAAATACTACTAGCTAAACTATACCATTATGGCCTCGGAGGAGTTGTATACAATTGGATAGGATCCTACCTAAAAAATTGCACACAAATAGTTAAAACTTCATCCCTTTCTGATGAAGTAATAGTAAACTGTGGTCTACAAGGGTCCATTCTGGGCCCCACCCTTTTTTTTGTTATACATAAATGATTTGATGAGAATAGATATCTCGGGTAAATTTACAAATTTTGCAGATGACACCACTATTCTATGGCATGACAAACATACTATTGACCTGGAAAGAAAAATAAACTGTGATATGCAAAAAATAAAAAGTTGGTGTAACTCAAACCTCCTTGCTCTCAACGTTTCAAAAACCAATATATTATACTTCATGTGTGATCTTGGTAACATCGAACTGGATAAAGGTTACATAGAGAGCCGTAACAGCACTAAGTTCCTAGGGGTATTTATTGAAAATAACTTGAAATTTGAAGAGCATGCGGTGAATTTAAATAAAAAACTTGCCTCTGGCTGTTTTACTGTAAAAATCGCAGGAATTGGGATCCTCTGCTGCAAAAATAGTATACCATGCAGTAATTGTATCCCATCTCAGATACGGCTCCCCATTTTGGGGAGTATGCAATAATAATGTCATGAAAAGCATCTTGATTACGCAAAAAAGAGCAATTACATACATTTCGAAAGCAAAGGCGCGTGATCCATGCAAACCACTTTTTGTATTGTATAAACTACATACTGTTGTTGCCATATTCATAGCGGAGACAGTTTGTCTGATCAAAAAACATTTGAATAAATTCAATACGGCTAACCGTTATCCTACACGCAAGCAAAACAGTATTAACTTACCCAAGCCTACTTTAGTGAAGGACTCTATTATTTATAATGGTTGCAAGATGTTCAATCACTTACCTGATTTTATAAGAGACATTAACACATTTGATAATTTTAAAAAGGCTGTTTACTTCTTACTGTGTAGTCGCCCGTACATTACCACAGTATATTAAGTAAAACAGATAATTACATCAAAACTGTGTGGCAAATCATTAACTCCGAAACAGGTCGAAAGAACAAAATCTTAAATGAACCAGAAAATCTAACAGCTAACCAGATGAATGACTTTTTCATCAATAACATAAACACAACTCTACTGCACTACCCCAAATCTGATGTTGACCCTATTGCTTTTATGGATAAAAAAATGAACACAAATAAGTCGATGTTCTTGGGCCTGTAACGACAGATGAGGTGAGAATAATCATAACCAAGTTAAAAAATAAAAAAACGGAAGATATAAACGGTGTGAATGTTTTAGTCATAAAAAGTGCCATTGAATGTATAACTCAACCCTTAACAGATATTATCAATACCTGTCTAAGTGAAGGCTACTTCCCTCAGCAATTAAAAATTGGTAGAATCCTGCCAATTCATAAAAAAGGTGTTACATCTGAACCAAAAAATTTTCGACAGATAGCAATACTGCCAACTTTTTCAAAGATTTCTGAACACATAATTTACGAACAACTAGTAAAATACTTTGATATAAATAATCTTCTGAGTCTTCATCAATTTGGATTTCAGAAAGGAAAATCGACGTCTGATGCAATAAACTTTCTCACAAATAGTATAAAAGACGCCTTTGATAACCAAGAAAAATATGTGAGCGTATTTACAGATCTCACTTCAGCATTCGACTCGGTAAATCACTCGATTTTATTGGCCAAATTAGATTTCTACGGAGTGAGAAGTGTCTGCCTGAACATGATGAAGTCATACCTTAACGAAAGATATCAAATTGTTGATCTAGGAAATATCAAAAGTGAAAAAAGAAAAATATTGAGAGGAGTACCACAAGGGTCAATATTGGGGCCACTTCTGTTTCTAATATATATCAACGACCTACCTCACGTGATGAACTCGTCAGGCATAGAAACTATATTGTATGCAGATGATGCAACCTTGGGCAAAAACATATATAAAATAGATTATCCATACTGACATATTAGAGAAAGCTCGATCATGGTTCACAACAAATGACTTGATTCTCAATGAACAAAAAACAGAAACTCGAACTTTTGAAACAATTTGCTTAAATCGAGATAACAAAAATTCTACCAAATTTTTGGGAGTACAAATAGATTCCAACTGAAATGGATAGACCACATAAATAACATGTGTAGTAAACTTAGTAAGACGGTTTTTGCTATCAGAAGAATCAAAAAAATAGTAAATCAAAGTGCGCACTTGCAACATATCATTCTCTATTTCATTCAGTCCTTAGGTATGGTATAATCAATTGGAATAATGCATCAAAGGTACATCTTAATAGAATATTTGTCATTCAAAAATCTGCAGTAAGAAGCATGATCTCTGCCAATTATGATGAAAAGTGTTGACCAATATTTGTAAAACTTAAAATAATGACCCTATATTCAGTTATTGTCTATGAAAATCTGCTTCTTGTTCAACAATACTTGTTGAATGAAGTTGCTCACAAGGATATACACCAACATGATACAAGAAATAAACCAAACCTTGTTCCTACAGCTAATAGGTTGAAAAGAACAGATAATATAGGAATTAAGCTATACAATGCCTTATCTGCCGAATTTCGTAACTTGCCATTTAGAAGATTCAAAAACTTATTGAAGAAAATATTAACCAAACATCCTTTATATGAAATTTATCAATTTTTCGAAGTTATCCAAGAAGAAAGATACACTTTTGTGGTCACCTCCCGAACTTTTACTAAACTTTGAATATATATAATACGTTAGCTATGTGTTCATAATTTGTAAAAGCTCATGGCTTTACATTTTAGTCAAGTCTTATAAGATTGGAATTTTATCTTGTTAACTTGTATTTTTTTTTGTAAATCTAATTTATCTACAAGCATTTTTTAAAAACTATATTGACAAATCTTACCCTCTCAAACCTATTTTAGAAATTGTATTGACGTGTCTAAAAACTGTGTGTTTCTTGAGACTAATAAATATTATTATTATTATACTTTGGAAGAATTTTATGCGGATAGCTTTTAATCTAATTATTTTTTATTTTATTTGCTTATTTTTTCTCTTATTGTTAAGGATTTTAATACTATATGTTGACTAACAAATTGTATCTTGTTCTTTATGACAATAAAGTATTGATTGATTGATTGATTGATTGATAAATTTGAAAGTGTTTTTTCAAAATATACTTCTATTGTATTGGGTGAAACCTCATTGCAACTGTTTTTTTTTGGACATTAACGCAATGTTGGTGCTCCCTGTATTCATTGTAGTAATTTTCAACCAGGATAGTGCAGCATTTGTAGAAACAGATATTAATGAAATATTATTTTCAGGAAACTTTTTACTCGCTGCTTCTTTTCTGACTACGGGCGAAAACTACAAAGCTCAGGAACTGTTCGAAAGAGCAGCCAAAGGAATTTTTACTGATACCTTCCTGCAAGAGAGAGTCTTAAAAGGTGCTGAAGACAATCCGACAAAGGCATATATCAATTATTATTTGAAGGTGAGCATTTTGTTGATTGATTATGAAAATCTCAAATGCATTGAAATTGATGTAAATGATTCCCAATGATATTTTGAATATATTCGATGACTATATTCTGAAATCTACTTCTGTGATTTTTAATAACCATTTATTGAAGGTCATTCAACTGTTCGAGTTACATAAGGCCAGAGATTGTGCAATAAGTATTGCAAATACTGCACTGAGTGTTGTCGAACCAACTGACCCTCTTACGGTAAGGAAACTTTTCTCTATTTTCTTATTGAAAAGTGTCAGATTTTGATTCTATTTGAACCGCTTAAGAAAATATAGCAAGCGCCAAACGTGATGGCGAGCGATCGCGCAGCGATCTCCCAACTGAATTACTATTGGATTTCAATAAGCCCCTTGCCGGCCAGTGTCGTACCTATAATTAGTTTTAATTAGGGTAGCAAATAGAATTTGACTTCTTCTTTGTAATTTTTCATATTTTATTCAGTACAGTTCATTAAAATGGTCTATAATGATACACTCTTGATGACCGATTTTTTGTTAGACATTTTTTCTGAAACAACACAAATTATTCAGACAATGCTAAACGCCTACAGCATTGGAGGACAAGTGATGGTACGCCTCTGTACAGAGCATTTGTATGTCTTGCAAGAGCTGTAGTGGGGGTTACATTGAAAATGAGTTGGTGCGCATGTGGGCGGGCTTGCCATCACGTTTGGCGCTTGCTGTATATTCTTTTTCAAAGTATGTTCACCAGATGTGAGAAAGGGAGGGGGAGAGAGGGAGGAAAATGGAAGAGAGGGGGATGTCGAGAGTAAGACAGGGGGGTTAGAGAAGGGTAGAGAGGGTGGGAGAAAGGGAGAGATACGGGAAGAGGGGATGGGGAGAGAGATGAAGGGGGAATACAGGGAATAGGGAGGAAGAGCGCGAGAGAGAGGGGAATAGAGGGGGTGTGAGAGAAATTTTTCAACCTAACTGAAAATGTTAATTTTTAATAATGTCAAGTTTGTTCGTAGGCCACCCTGTACTCGATCAAATTCAAACATCAGCTTGCCCTGAAACACTACGAGCTCGCTTTCGACTCCCTTTATTCGAATCCGGATGCTGAGCGTAAAAAGGATAACTTGAGAGACCTAGTAAAAACATTACTGGACGAAAAAAAGTTGGACAAGTTACTGAACTTCACCTATGGAAATTTGGATGAATTTTTCACGAATATTCTGTTGAGCAGAGCTAGAGCATCAGACGGAATCAATAATATCTTCTATGATTTTCTTTACTCGTACCAAATTAAGAGGGGAGCACTTTCTCATAGATTAGGTGAGAGACAAAAGTTTTCAATAACACGAGGTTTGGAAATATCCAAAAACTAATCTTCAAAAAATATGGTGAACTACTAATATTCACTCAAAGAATAATAATGGTGATACATTTTATTGTTTTCAATTGAAAAATGGAATTTTCTACAAGTATTTCTGTCCAAGTAATGAAGATTATTTCGAATTATCTCTATTGATAATTTTCAGCAAATATTGACGTTTTAAAGGAAAATAATCTTTTTGATTTTCTACTTTTCCATCATTAAACAAAAAATGTAGGAAACTTCCAAAGAAAGAGCACAAAATAACTGTAATAAAGATAATCTGTTAAGATATGTAGTGCATACACAGAAGTTTTTTTCAGATACAAACTATAAAATAAAACCTTTTGAAATAACTACTTTCACGTGAACATGTATCTGCATGCTGTGTACATTAAAAGTTTCATTTTATGTGTTTGACAAATTCAAATTACTTGAGTTTCTCCTAGTAATTTCAGACATTCAATCTTGTTGCGAATCAAGGTCCTATATTATTCTTCTGTCTTCATAGTATGTTTGATAGCATATTTCTTCTTATGTTTGCAATATGCTGCAATGAAATACATGAATTCAAAGTTGTTATATATCCAGCAAAGAGGATAATCATTTATTCTGTTCAGTGGAAGAAAGCACCTCCAGGATATTCGACAAAATCTACGGTAGTTTTCTTCTTCTCCTGAAGACGTCAACTTGGTTGCTAAAACGCGTGTCATAAAAAATATTGCATTTCTGCAATATTCTGCAAATATTGCTTGTTTTGGTACAGTATGGATTTGAGAGATTGATGAATGAAAATGTACGAAATAGTTAAGGCCGCAGGAATATTACAGAACGAAATGTTTTTTTTAATGTTTATGAAAACTATAGTGCAAAAAAACCTTGAAATGCATGGCTTATTCATTCTCCTAGAATAAGTGCAATAATCATTGATCAGCTCTGTGTTTTGACACTTTAACTACCTTGTACTCCAGAAAAAAATTGCAATAAAGTGCACTTGATATTTGCAGTCTTATCCCTGTTTTTGATTTTTCAATATTATGAATATTATAGCACTGCTATACTATCACTATACGCACACTAATGCAATCTCAACATGGTTTCCGAAAGAGTAAATCCATAGAATCAGCCACGTATCATTTAATGAATTTTGTTTATACTGTAGTTTGTAGTATCACTTATGTTTGGTTTCTGAAAGGCTTTTGACTGCCTAAACATTGCTTTCATCTTGTAAAAACTCAGTTTTCTGGGTATCAGAGGCACTATTTTGAAATGGTTTGAATTTTATTTGACGAACAGAAGTATAATTGTTAAAATGGAACATCAGTTATCAGAGAGGTGTGCTGTTTCTTTAGGCGTACCTCAAGGATCAGTACTGGGACCGTTAATTTTTCTTCTTTTTGTTAAGGACCTTCCCAACCACATAATTGTTGGAAAAGTTACAATGTTTGTGGACGATACCACAGTTACTGTCTGTGGAGATACTCTTGAGGAATATTAAAATTACTCTTCTTGAAATGGAAGTATGGTGTCAGAAAAATCGCTTTATTCTGAATAAGAATAAAACGGTTTATATAAATTTTCATATAAAAAAAAAAAAATTCCTGAAAATCTTTATATCAATATGAATCTTAGTGATAGTGTCAAACTACTCGGTACTTGGCTAGACTCTGATCTTAGCTTCTCTTCTCATATAGACTTTGTTTGTAAACAGCTCAATAAAGCATATTATGCAATTGTTCAAATGAAACCAATTTTAGACAGGAATGGGTTGCTGAACGTATACTATGCATTTGCATATAGCCACTTATCAAATAATATTGCAACATGGGGGGCTATCAACTGAGTACAAAAGAGTTTTTATATCTCAAAAAAGACTTATTAGACTTATATTCAATTTGGAACATAAGGAATCCTGTAGATCCACTTTTAAAGAGCACCGTATTCTACTATTCCATTCTATATTTATCCTAAAATCCGTAACATTTGTGAAAAATAACTTAGCTGAATTCAACATATTGGGAACAAATAATAATTACTCTTCAAGAAAATTTATTCTTGATATACCAAAGCATAGGACAGCAACCTTCAAAAAAATCAACTCTCTATAACTGTATATCAATCTACAACAAGCTGCCAAAGTTTCTTAAAGACATTTAGCAGCTATGACAATTTCAAGAACAAAACAAAGAAAAATCTTTTAGAAAACTGCTTCTATACTATGGAAGAATTTTTCGAGCACTGAATGTTTACAAGTGGTTTGTGTTGTGGTATATGTACAGATATATGTTTATTTTAATATTTACATTCCTTTTGTGAAGCTATTTGTTGTTATAAGTTTGTAATTGTTATTCCTGACATCTCTATATTCTATATACATATATATTTTTACTCATTTATGTTAGTATACCTATTCTGTGACCTGCCATTTGTACTGAGTGTATTCAATATGGTTAATAAATACTACTACTACTATACTAGTGTAATAGTAGTATAGCAGTGCTATATTAGTATTGCTGTGAATTCACAATAAAAACAGAAAGGTAAAACTTGGACCTCTGGCTTGGATTAATAATTATGCAATATACAACAAATTACATCAAAATCTTGTCCGTCAGAATGATGAAGAAGGAACTGAACATGCTACTATCAAAGGTATATTATTCAGTAGGTGAATAAGTTGCAGATATACTTTGAACTGATTGCTACTTCATTGTTATATTATTTTGTGTTTATCTCTCTCAGTATGTTATTGTAGCTGACAACGATTACCTATTTGAATATTTTTAGCTGCTTCTGTAATGTACGAGCAAGCATTCAGATTAAATCACATCAATACTGCAGAATCTTTGGAAAAGCAAGTGAAATGCTATCTAGCGGCTAAAAACGTGTTACAACTCTGTAAACCGGAACATGCTTGGGTAGTGAGACCATCTGACCCAGATGAAGAAGAGGAGGAAATTGTCATTCAACCGTTGGCAGGATCCAAACAGGCAAGACTGTTCATTCAATATGTCATAGCATTTTTTTTTAATCATCTGGAGATTTGTATCCGTGATCATACAAAAATTATTATTTTGTTGCAGGAACTGAAAGTAGTCAAGCTACAAAAACAGGTTGAAGTAGTCAACATCGAAGTTATAAAGACTGAACTGATTTTCGCAAGCGCTAAACTCAAACTAGCTAGATTCAATAGTGCTGCACCGGTGACTATTACAAGTTAGTAGAGAGAAAATGTTTTTGAAGATTTGTCGAGGCAGGGGGGATTTTCGAATTACTATTTAACACAGAATTTTCAATAAAATTTAGAAATAGCATCTAATTAAAAATCTACTATTGCAGAATATTCATTATATGAAATTTGTGAATAGAATAGGTTTGTTCTGGTTCTAACATCCGAAACTGTTTGGAAACTGCGCAAACTATGATGCGTACAAGCAAAAAATCTCAAACCGTCCGAAATAGTCTCAGACACTTGGTTAAACCAGAACGCATTTTGAGGAGACCACTGTGCCTCCTATCTTATATATGAAGAGATGAAGACGAGAAAATATTATCCATTTTGTTATGTAGCGTATCCTTGTAGTCTGTTCAAATGTTGTCTAACCTCAATCATCAATTATTCAAATCAAATAAATGAAAAAGCATCCCAGAAAATAGTCCAAACAAATTTCCACACGAATGCGCATGAGCAATAGGAACAGTTCTCAACAGATCAGCCTCGAGAGCATTAACAATTCGGGACGGTTCAAGACAGTTTATGATCATTTCGCAGTCGAAACCAGAACAGAGGATTCATCAATCCGAAATTATCCTTAATAAACCAGAACTCTCTATATCAACTGCGCATGATCCTGACGTCCTAGAACCTGAGTTTTGTAGAACCAGAACAAACCTATCAATTCTCCCAGAAAATATCAAACCCCTAATGTACAAAAATTTATCCGAAAACCTTGTTGTCAACAAAAACTCCTCTGAAGGTTGTTTCTTCAAAAAAACCAGCTAGAATAGCTTGTCCCAATACAAAAAAGAAAAGGGTTTTTCCAACACAGAAAAGGGTTTTTTAACAAAAAAGAGAAAGCAGTTTCTGTGCTTAGAAAAACTAATGAAGGTTGCTTCTTCAAAAAAATGAACAGAAACAAAAGGGTTTTCTCAACACAGAAAAGCGTTTTTCAACAAAAAAGAGTGTTTTTTTCACCACAGAAAACAATAACACCTCACTATATGTTAGTTTTTGAATTATTGTTTTTTTTCCTCCCTGCTATAAACATTGTATGTTTCTTCTTTTGAAAATAAATCGTTGCTATATTTAAATGTATCCAATACAGTTTACAAATTGAACTGCAATAATAAAAAGAAAAAAGGTTTTAAAACTGCAGCATAACTTCTAGAGTTGCAAAAACTGTATTCATGAGTCAGAGAAAGACTTTTCAGCATGTTAAAAATGAGTTGAAATAGTTTGCTGTGAAGTCTTCGGGAGTTTTATGCAACAGATTAACAAGGTCTTATCTTTCAACGTGCGATTGTTCAACCTTACCTTCCAAAAACACTTATTGATACACTTGTTTCAACACAAGAGATTTGAACTCGGTTTTCTAGAATGTGACACAAGTAATTCAATAATAATTTCCACTTCATGTTCTTGCTTTCTTTATTTTCATGAAAATTCGTGTGTAATTTTTCTCATAGTTCTGTGAGACTGAGAAAATTCATTGTTTCAAAGCCCTGATGATAGTTATTAAATTTCGTGACATTCCTACCCCATCCAGTCAGATCATTAACTAATTCAATAATAAAATATTTTTTCACCCAGTTCTATGTCTCAAATGAAATTCCTTTTGTAGGCGCAGTGGAGTTGGTAACTCTTCTCAACAACGCAGGTCTTTTCAAGACCTCATTGGAAATTTGTAAGACTTTCAACCTACCATACAGCAGCGTTTTTGAAACTCTCACCAAACACTGTGTCAATCTCACTGAACAGGACCAGCCAACTGCTTGGAACTGGCTTGTAGAGAACGACTTACAAGGTAAGTTTTTAAAGTCGATCACATACTAGTTTTCGTGTAGTGTATGGAAGCATAAAACAATCTTCTGTTGTTTTCAGATCTTCCTGTCAATAGAGACAGTGCCTCTGATGTTGTATGGCAATTATTACAGGACTACTTAGAAAAGTACGAGCAGCCATACATGACAACTTTACATTACGTAGTCTGTAAGAAAATCATCAATATGAGGATGTACATACCTCACTGGCTCTTGGCTTCTTACAAGGTGAGCTCTTCTAGGTATTCCATCGAAATAAGCTGAACCTTACCAAAGTAGATTATGGCGGCCTGACATTATTCAAAAAAGGGTACTTTTGGAGTACAAGATCTGCAAATAGTAAACAGGATCAACTAGAAATTATGGTGGATGCCTCAACATCTGATCTGATGAAATGATTGGATTTTTAAGTGGATAGATCTTTGCAGAAATACCGTTGATAAAGTATAAATTGATTTATTTCATGTACCAATGTTAAAAAATGTATTAGTAGCTCTAGTGAAATTTAAAAGAATTTCTTGATGTTATTGATAAATATCTCCAAAAGTGAATAGAAAAGATAATATTTTTAGTTTGGAGAACAAAATTAATTGATAAATTAGTCAGATGACTGTGTTTGACAGATATCCATATTATAAATGTTCCTACACAGAAGGATCTGCCAGAAAATTCAGTAATTTTCTCCTGTGCCATGACAGATATAGGTACAAGTTTGCTTACTTCAGAGATTCCTTGTCAGGTCGAAATAGATCCAACCAAGGCAGATAATTGGGGCTTGTTTCATGCTATGGAAAATGATACTGGTTTGCTTATAGACTGATTGAGTTAGGGGTATATTATACTTATCAAACCTAATCGGTTCCAAGATTTCTTTTTATTTGCAGAAAAAAAAACAATTCGAAAAGCAAGAATTCAAACTGGCCGCGTGTCTGTTTACCAATAAAATTGATTGTGTCTAGAGCGGAGTTGCCACGTGTATTGGTTTTTAATATCCAATCACAGATCTGATGATCCAATTCGACAGATGCCATTTTTGTTGTTATTGTTGTCAACTCGGTGCGAATACAACTGTTACAATTATCTAATTAAAGAACGTTTTTTTATAAAAGGTAGGTCTAGGCGGGTGCCTATTTTGCTGCATATTCCGTGTCATTAGTTTACATTCCGAAAAATATTTTTTCAGGTTATTTTTTAATTGATATGTTCTGGAGTAATTCTACATTTCGCTGTACATATTTTTGCTTCTCTTTTCAGTCACCATACTGCTCCATGGCCGAGATAAAATAAAAATTAAATCAAAACTTTCCATCCTTCAATAAAAGACAAAGTCTGAAATGAATGTCATATAAATAAAAGAGACTTACTAAATATACCACCTACCATTTCAATTTTTCATTCTTCATTTCGGTACCAAAGTATTGCAAATTTTTCAAGTGAAAAACTAGGCTCAACATTCATTTTGAAATTATTTTAACAAAAATACGAAGTTTGTGGAAACCATTGACATTAGAAAGAGCACATTGTCGCATACACTACAGAGAGCGCTGGATCTGGCTGACAATCTTATTGTCATCCTAATATACCAGTAACGTTGAATTTCTTATTTTTGGTGGGTGGCATAAATGCATAATTGATTTATTTTATTAGGGTTCATGAGCATTCGAAAACCATTTGAAAATACAACTCGTATAATTCTATTTAGAATCATATTTAGATATAACTTGAACTAGATCAGTTGTCAAGGCAAATATTATTGTCCATTTTCAATTCAATTCAATTCAAAATATGCTTTATTACCCAAGATATATACATCTTATTGGCAAAGTCTAGTAAAGTAAAACATGTATAAGGGACAATTAACAAATATAAACTATAAAATAATGCTTAAACACAGGAGCAGAGTATATGGACAGAACAATATTGAGTCCAGCTGAACAGCTACAAATATAAGTACATGAATTTATGAATATTAAGTAAACGTAAATATATAATTCTACATAATGAACATTGATAGCCATTTCGTGTTGGTTTCAATAAAATTTGTTTACACAAAGCTACATGTCAATTATTCGATAGAGCCTTGGTAGAATTCGTCCACACTATAATAGGGCCTCCCAAAAAGGAATTCTTTCACTTTCTTTCTGCAAGCAAGCCTATAACGCTTGAATTTAGTAGCTATATTAGAAAGAGGTGTGTATGTAGGAATCGTTTTTTTTACTAATAAATTGCAGTTGTACAGATTGAGGATTGTAGAATAAATTGAATATTTGAAATGATTCTTTAATCCAGTTTGTTATATTTTGTGATTTTCATAACTGTATATTATTAAAAATTGCATTAAATCATAGTTTAGGTAAATATTTTGTGATCTATCAACTTTGTGTACTGATTTTAGATATAGAACTCATTTCCAAACATGATTTTTCGTGTACATTTCATTCCATGTGGAGAATTTTTCATTGATTGAAACGTTAACGGGTTCATATACACTTCCATAATAAAACTCATAATTATAGGCTCCGTAAATTTCACGATTTGGCAATGTTGATTATTTCTATTTTTCCTATTGGTCAATCGAACAAGAAGCGGGAATAGGGCCGTGACGTCACCACCCTACCACATTCGATTTTTAATAATTAATTACGGGAAAACTACGGTACTTACAGAGATGAAACAAAGTGCACTGTTTTTCAATTTAAAATTTCTATTGAGTGAACTATAAACCAAAAATCATGAAACAAGCCCATTATTCATTAGTATGTGCATTAGCGACCAAGATTTTTTTAGCAACATTGATATACTGAAACCAAAATAATAAAAATGTCAAAATTCAATTCAAGACCAGGTAACAACGAAATCATTTTACCCAGCGACATTTAGTTGTTCGTGAGGTAAGAAATTTGGAAAAAATTTGTAGGGAGTTGAGACTGGCCTGAACGAATTGTTCCTTTAGATGATTTGATTTATAGCCAGTCTTCAAGTATGCCCACCGACTATATTTGATAAATTTGGAACAAAGGTACAGGTCATTGGGCTGATATTACCGATGACTAAACAAATGAAAATACTTTACAATGGACCCAAATCAGGGATTTAAAATAGAACCCTTTATTATAACCTGATACAAATAAACTTTTCAATTTGTAGCTTCGAAATGCTCCTGAACTATTGCGACTTCTACACGGTTCTGGGAGGTTGGAAGAAGCCATAGAGGTAGCCAACGAATATCTGCTAGCTGCTTTGGGGTACGGCAAAGAATTCTATGGGTTTTCAAAGCCTGTGGCTCCAGTTGCTACCACTTTCTGTTTACCAGTCTACGCTATTCAGAGTTTGATAAATGAGCTAGACCTACATAATTCAAAGAGATTGGAACAGCCATATATAAAGGTAGGAGGATGATTTGGGATATGTTGTACTGATGAAAAATAAACTTACGACATAATTTTATTTGCAGGAATGTGTCAATCTTAAGTCTGTATTTTCAAAATATTTAGAAACTTCGACCAGGGTTTCCAATCAAATGTGCCAGACAGCGTTAACATCAGGAACGTTGAGAACGAATATGCCTTTGATGAGTTAGTACTTAGATGTAATAGTGTATTGTAGGTTATTTTTCATCATTTATTAAAAACTAATTTGAAAACCTATTTTGTATATGAACCTTTTTTGCTATTAAGAAAATGCCCACTTTCTAATAAGGACTACACCACAACTTCCAGAAAGACAACTGCATTGATAATCATGTACAAGTTATGTTCAGAAAATACCGAGAATTTTTGATATGTCCTTGAGCTCTCTCTATGATTCGGTTTTTATCGCCTCAATTGTCACATAACGATGTCCTTTCATGGGTCTCTTCAGTCTTGGGAACAGAAAAAAGTAGCAAGATACCAAATCTGGTGAGCAGGTGCATAATCGTGATGTAAAATCCATTAATTGCTTTTCCACAATACCAGACATTTTTTCGTATCGATTCTCGCAAGCGGAGCACTACTTCAAGATAATATTACTCTTCATAGTACAATCAGTCACTTATAAAATACAAAACAATAAAAAATATATATATATAAAATTAGAGACAAGTCACATTTTAAAAACAAGAAACTAGAAAACAAGACGAATTATTGATGACAATTACTTGAAATATATTCACTAAATTTTCTTTTGAATGAATTTAATGAATCACAGCTTTTTATATGACTTAACAAATTATTAAATGCAATCAGACCTTAACTATACGAGTCACAGCCTTTATGTTCTTTGTTGATATAAAAATTTCCTATTCTATTTCTAATGGAGTGTGTATGAATACTGCTTGTGTAGGTTAACTGATCACTCAGATAATTTGGCAACATATTGTGTTTAATTTAAAATATAAATATTAGCATATTCAGTGTTATCCTTTGTTTAGCAGATATAAGAGATAGTGTTTCCAACATGTATTCAACAGATGTGCCTTTAAAACAATTTAATATTACCCTCATGGATCTGTTTTGAAGCTTCTGTAGTCTGTTTAGATTTTCATTGCTCACAAAATAGAGTAATGTACTGCAATAGTCAAAGTGGGGTGCTATTATTGATTTATGAATTGTTAATTTTGCATATTCACTTATTTTATTTTTCAATCTATATATAAGATGAATTTTCGTGGCTATTTTTTTCTGAATATAACTACAGTGTGCATTAAAGTTCAATTCTTGATCTAATACCACTCTTAGATATTTAAAAGTTGTTACCCTTTCAATGATGACATTATCAATGTAGAGAGTCAATGACAGCTGTTCATCTTGCAGTTGTTTTAAACGATATTTGCTACCTATTAATATGCATTTTGTTTTATTAACATTTAACTTGAGGCCGTTGTCACATAACCACCCATTTATATTTAATAGTTCCTCATTCAAACATTCTGAGATTTCATTAGTTGTCCCAAAACAGTACAACATAGTGTTGTCGGCAAACAGTTTTATCTTACACCTTTTAACATGTATCACATCATTTATGTCACGGCAAGAATAGCAGTGAATCCAATAATGACTCTTGAGGGACCCCAGAAATTACATTTAAAGTACTGGATGTCACTTGATTATATTTAACTAGCTGCCTCTGATATATGAGGTAATTAGTGAACCATTTTAATACTTTATAATCTAGTCCATACTTATTTAATTTTATTAAAAGTAACTCAATGTTGACCGTCTCGAATGCCCTTTTGAAATCCAGAAACACAACACCAATAATACGTTTTTTAGATAGCTCAACTTTCCACAAAGAGATTAGAAATTGCAGTGCAGTTTCAAAATGAATGGGATTCCCTAAATCCAGATTGTATCAAAATATTATGTTTCGCTATAAATTTCATCAATTGCTCTTTCACTGTGATTTTTAATATTTTCTCATAAATTGGCAGGTTATTTATGGGTCTAAAATCAGATCTTAAAACGGTGTTTGTAATTTTTTCAATAGGAACGATGGTGGCAATTTTCCAACCATCAAGAAATGTTTCATATACTCCTTATTGACCTTACGACCATGCAGCAAGAACTCCTGATGCACTAAGCCACGGTAATCGAATAAAACAGTGTGTAAAACCTTGACATCTGCAACTTGGCATGCCTGTTTTGGTCTTATTTATCCCTAGGCTCTTCCAAAAAATTGCATGGCATCCTAAGCAACTTCTCTAATAGTGACTTCGACAATTTTCCATAACAATTTTCTTCATTTACCCAACATTTTCATCGGTTGTTGATGTGCTTGGGCGTTCAAGGCGAGCGTCGTCATTCACATCTTGTCGACTTTCTGCGAAAAGCTTGACCACTTGTAAACATTTTTCTGACTTCAAGAGTACAATCGCCGTATGCCACTGTCAACATTTCAAGTACGTAGCTCGCGAAATTCGAACATTTATCTTATCTTTTAACAGATCACATACATGCTCCTGAAGTATGATGAAAGCTGTATTCACCACTATGTCTGTGGTACAAGCCAAATGTAGACATTATTCTTTTCGAAATATTTCGTCATTCTTATGAGGAGTACTTTTCAAATAATTCACATAAAGAACAAAAAATTAATTTTCCAATTATCAATTTTTTTTTCGTGAAATTCTCTTTGAAAGTTGCATTTTTTTCTTTTATAATATTAAAATAGTTCACGCTGGCTTCATAACCTTGTGTTCAACTGCAGAATGAAGGCTACGAATTGAAAAACTTGTTGAAAAAATAATATATTACATCTTAACAGGCAAACCCTGAACTTCGAATGAGCAACGCAAGCGCTTAGTCCTGATAGTGTTTTATTATAAATTTATATAAATATTACAAACAAAAATAAAAAAAAAACAACAAATAAAAAACAATTTTCAACATTCAGTATGGTGGGGAGCCAACCCGTATCTTTTTGATAAAATCATCCAGCGGACAAATCTGATGGGTGGACGCCATCCTGCACTGATATTGAATCGATATCAGGCCTATCAAAATCAAAAAGGCGAAGCAGAGCGCCCATGCAATGGCAATTGTGAGGTTTGTGAAACAGCTTCTTCTGCAATGATAGAAAAATGTTATATAGTTGATGCAAAAACAGAAAATAAGGAACAGCAAATTTTCATTTGTCAATTTCAACAATATTTTTAATTGGATGGACGTAGAAAACAATTCTGAATAGATTGTTTGAAGGTGATTGACAATGTATCATGATGAATTTCACTAGTTCGGACTTCCATTGTCTAATATATAAAATGATTTGAAATCCCTGAAACAACTAAAAAAGAAAATTAAAAATGAATAGGTGAAAATAACAATTACATTAACGCCTTCCTGAAACACATCAACAGCATGATACCTTCCATCACTTTCACAATGGAGAAGGAAATCCACAACGAATTGCCAGTCTTAGACGTTTTGGTGAAGAAGACCGACACTAAGTGGGAAACATCTGTATACCGAAAACCCACTCACACGGAACAGTATCTGAACCACGAATCCAACCACCATCAATCGACTAAAAGAGGATTCATCAAGACTCTATTAGACCCTGCTTTCGGGCTCTGTAATATGAAGGAAGGTCTCGAGTAGGAACTAGACATGATCTTCAACGGAATGGCTACTCTAAAGCAATGGTAGAAAAGACTTTGGCAGACAGCAGGAGCCTCATAAGGAAGAGATGCCGTCACAACCAGTGCTTGCACTTCCCTACATCAGTGGATTATCGGAGAGGATAAGAAGAATTGGTTCCAAGTACAACATCAGATCCTGCTTCAGATCCGGTAACACTATTCGTAGCAGCCTCACGAAATCCAGGCCACCAAACGCGGACTGCGATTCCAAGAATTGCATTTACTGCACACCCTGTGAGTGAGCAAAATCCTATATTGGTGAAAATAAGAGGCCATTGAATGTTCGCACTGCCGAGCACAAGAAACACACAGCGAGGCGAAACACAACATCGAGTGGTCTCAAGCTGAGATCATACACAGGGAGAAACACTGGTTTGGGAGGAAATTCAAAGAAGTCGCATACATGTTGTTCAACAAAGTATTCAGCCAAGCTAGCGTAGAGATATGCAACATATGGAAACCTATAATCAATCGAAAAATGGCCAACTCCCGCCAAAGGTCATCTCTCACTGAACCTGTGAAGCGAAAAAATGAAAAGCGGGGATAAGTGAAAGTACACGAACGACCCATAAATAGTCATCTCTCAGATGACTCAGTCCAGTCATCTCTCGGAGGAATTAGTCTAGTCATCACCTGAAGACGATTGTAGATACTAACAATCGAAACGTCGTAAACTAACGTGGCTTGGAATCTCTTAACTTCTTATTTTCAATTTTTCTTTAATTTTTGTTCAATCTTATTATTTTTACTAGTATTTTATTTCACTATTATTTCATTTCAGGTTATTTTTGCTTAATATAATTATTATTTTCAGCTATTCATTTTTAATTCTTCTTTTTTAGTTGTTTCAGGGATTTTAAATCGTTTTATATATTAGACAATGGAAGTCCAAACTAGTGAAATTCTGAATAAGAGTTCAAAAGTCATATCTCTCTATGATAAAAAAATCCCAAAAACTAAGAACTTGTAATCATTGTATGAGAGAAAAAAAAATTAATATAGACACATAATATAGCTGCTTTTAAGACTACCATAAATTAACAGTGGCTAGATGACTAATGGAACTTTTGAAGTATCCTGAATGTATTTTTTCCTTTGCTTTCAAGTAATTTGGACAGTTTTAATTTTGTTACAATCAAATCTGATCAAGTTCAAAGTTATTTCAAACTTTGAGAATAGGTTCCTGGCCTACATTTTTTATGATTGTGACAGAATAAAAATTGGCTTGGTTGATGTTCCTTCTACAAATCAACAGAAAATCCTAACTGAATAGGTTGTTCCATTTCAGTAAATTATTATTTTTAAACGCACCCATACTTTTCCTTCTTCTCTTTGGTTGAATTTGTCTTGCCGGGGGGTTCTTTGGGTTTCTTTCTGAAATCAGTCTTATCTTCTACTGGTTTTGAGTTATTTTCAAAAAAATTCTTCACTTCTACAAGTTTTTCGTCTTGGATCCTGATGACAGAAAAAATATTTAACATTTGTCCTTTCATAAGACTGACTAGAAAAGAAATATTGAATAGAGTGAAAGTAATATTTCATTCAGTAAATTGTACAAAGAACGATTTCTGTCAATTATGTATCAAAAAACTATGTTTTGACTATTGGCAAGGAACCTAGTGATTCTTTCATTCGCTTAATGTTATTACATTTTCACTTGAGAAACCTGGAAACACTTCAAATGAATATCTAGAAAATATTTTGTAAAAATCCTTTGGAAAAAGTTACGCCGGCCGCCGCTGGTCTTTGTCGATCAACTGTGACTTGGTCAAAGTCGCGTTCAACCCTACTTTTGCTTCTCGATCTTTCTAGGTGTCGCGGCGCTTCGAAAATATTTCTATCGTCTTCCGAAGACTTCCATTGGGATATATAAGTACTGCCAACTGGCAGATAAGTCTAGTCTAGTTGAAAGTGCGGTACGAAGAGAGGTAATAAGGCGATAGACATTTCAGTATTAGTATGAAGTTCAGTTAAAGTTTTTCTGTTGTATTGACGGTGTAGTAGTGAAATAAAGTTAATTTCAATTGTACAGTGTTGTCAATTATTGTCGAACCCACGGAGAAACCGTAACAATAATAATAAATTCATTCATGAGTTCATAAAAAATATTTCTACAATCATCTGAATATAGGTATTCATTATCATTCATCATATTACTATGAGCAGTTCGTCATTGGTATTGCAAATATACTACAAGATCTAGAACCTCAGTAGGAAATGATGAAACGGACCTGCAAACAATGGGAGACACCAACAAAATGAAAGCATTCAGTTGTTTTGAAGTGAAAAAATAGTGAATTGAATTGAGGACTATTGTGTTTCATTTTGTAGTATCGAATGTCATTTATAGTCATAAGTAACTAACAACAGTATAAAAAGAATCCTTTGTAAAATATCCAAAAATTTTGAAACTTCCGTTCCATTATCTGCTGATAATTTTCTGATATCTCCTTTAATAAAATAAATTCAAATCTTCAAAGAATCTTTTATGAGAATATTCAACAAAAAAATTACACCCACCTGTTTGTGGATATCGGTTCCACTTTGGGGGAATTTTGCTTGATCAAAGCCATATAATTTGTAACCAGATTCCAACACTTCATCATTCGGTTTTCGCATGTAAGTATTCCCAGTTGACCAGCAGACTAAACTATCTCTTGGAGAAGGAACCTTACATCTTCGAGTAAAACAAAAACAGGATTAATTGGATCCAATGCCCCTAGAAAAGAAATTAAAAATTGAAGATTATTACTCTCTATTTTCAACTAACAATGATATAGAGAAACTTTCATTGTCAATCTAATCTAGTCTAATACTATTGAAGTTTTTTTTGGTCTTCAACCAGAATAGTTAAAATAGCCGAAATGCAACAACAACAGTTATGAATTTCACTAGTTCGAACTTCTATTGTCTACTATATAAAATGATTTGAAATCCCCGAAACAACTAAAAAAGAATAATTAAAAATGAATAGCTGAAAATAACAATTATATTAAGCAAAATAAACCTGAAATGAAATAATAGTGAAATAAACTCAAGTAAAAATAGAACAATTGAATAAATAAAAACAAAATAAAATAAAGGAATGTAAAAAGAAAATAAAAATGATAAGTGTAGAGATTCCAAGTCACGTTAGTTCACGACGTTTCGATTGTTAGTATCTACAATCGTCTTCGGGTGATGACTGGACTGATTCCTCTGAGAGATGACTATTTATAGGTCGTTCAAATACTTTCACTTATCCCTGCTTTCCATTTTCCGCCTCACTGGTTCCGTGGGAGATGACCGTTTTGGCGGGAGTTGGCCATTTTTCGCTTGATGATGGGTTTCCATATGTTGCGTATTTCTACGCTGGCCTGGCTGCATACGTTGTCGGACAACATGTATGCGGCTTCCTTGAATTTTCTCCTAAACCAATGTTCCTCTCTGTGCAAGATCTCAGCTTGGGACCACTCGATGTTGTGTTGATGGGTCCAAACATGGTCTGCTATTCCTGATTTGCTGGTTTCCCCTCGCTGTGTGTGTTTCTTGTGCTCGGCAATGCGAACATTCAATGGCCACTTAGTTTCACCAATATAGGATTTTCCGCACTCACAGGGTATCCGGTAAATGCAATTCTTGGAATCGCAGTCCGCGTTTGGTGGCCTGGTTTTCGTGAGGCTGCAACGGATAGTGTTACCGGATCTGAAGCAGGTTCTGATGTTGTACTTGGAACTAATTCTTCTTATCCTCTCCGATAATCCTCTGATGTAGGGAAGTGCAAGCACTGGTTGTGACGGCTTCTCTTCCTTGCGAGGCTCCTGCTGTCTTTCAGCCAAAGTCTTTTGTACCATCGCTTTGGAGTAGCCATGGTAGAAAAGACTTTGGCATTCGAGCTCTAATACAGTTACTCGTATTGCATAACATTCAGAAGAAAGCTTGGATTTCAAACTATCTACATGTTTGTCATCATTTAATTCACCCGCATAGATTCTGATCCCATGGGAATATCTGAAAAATGTGACTTCCTAAATGTGAGAGAAAAGCAGTGTTGTAATTGATTTCGTAGAACATCAAATCTAGCTGATCTGCTCTGGTTTCTCACAAGTAGATAGACAGAAAAATAAATTGAAATAAATTCCTCACACTAATTTTTATGTAGCGAATATAAACCACTGAACCTTAATGGCTTAGAGCTTCTCTGTGAACAATATTTGAGTGGTATGAGTAAAACATTCGTTTGGTGAAATGATGATGCAATAAATTGTTGTTATGTCTATTAGTCCAAGTGTAGTCAAATTTATTTTTGTACCTACCCGAAGCTGGGGCTGGTCTGATTTCCTTGCAAAAATTCTTCATCCACGAAGGACCAAAACTAACTGAATGGTATAAAATTTACTTTGGATGAGTTAGCCAAAGTTAGCCAAAAATGAATTTTTTATGGGGTTGATTTATGTAATACATAACAATATAAAAAAATTGAATAATACGAAATTCAAGACAACTTAAATAGTATATTTTGAAATAGATTGACAATTTTGTAGTTTCACATATTTTACATAGTTTTATATTTGTTGTATTGTTCTTAATATGTTCTTTTTTTTCGATATGAATGTTACATTGTCCCTACTATAAACATGTATTGTTTCTTGAGATTAATGAATTTATAATTATTATTATTATTAATTTCATAATTCCTAACACTTACCTATGCACCTGTGATCCCGCAGTCGCATCGATATGTCTTTTATGAGGTAAAAACACTTCTTGTGCTGTTGAAGACATTGGTGTTTCTGTTTGGATAATCGTTCTTTTATATTTTTCGAGTCTAGAGCGATTTGTATGGCAAAAGTGGTGAACAATTTTTCGGTTTCGTCCTTCGATAGTTTCTTTCTGAAAATTTTTAAAAATTATATGACATTCAATCATTTAAAAAAAATTATCTACACCCTCTTTCCCTGAGAAACTCTCTTGCCCCTATAACTATGCCTAAGAACTTACTTCGGGCTACCCACATGCAGACCCAATTTTTCCAGAAAGTTATCAGTTACATGTGGAAAGGCATCTTGGAATGATAAATCAAGAGACAAGGAAGGCAACTAAAAATAAAAAAAAGCTTGCAAAACAATGGAAAATTGCAGTTCACAAAAATCATTCTTGAGACAAAAACATCTGGGGCAATATATAAATTAGTCATGCATGATTTCTCGAATCAGATAAATATTCAATGTGATATATACATTTTTGTTTTTTGTCATAAATGAAAGTACCAGGTCTGTTCAAATAATGGAGTGAATTTTAATTTTTCTCAAAGAATATTAATTTGTTTTTCCACAATGAGTTTTTTTCGTATCGCTTCTCGCAAGCGGCGCATAATAACTTCAAGGTAATACTACTTATCGACCGGCAAGAACTCCTGATGCAGTATGCCACGACGAACGAAGAAAACATTGATCAAAACCTTGATATTTGATCGAACTTGGCGTGCTTTTTTTGGTTTTGTTTGTCCTGGGCTCTTTTATTGGTACAAAGGTGTTCTACAAGGAAGCGTTTTGGGACCGCTATTGTTCTTGATTTATATAAATGACCTACCCAAAAGCATAAACGCATTAACAACCTTGTTTGCCGATGATGCTACCTTCGCAACCAGAATTGAAAAGAGTTCTACAAGAATTGATGAAATGATAGGATCGATCATCAATCAAGCTATTGAGTGGTTCACGGCAAACGAACTAAGTTTGAACACACGACTCAAACACTTCTTTTCAATAACAAGCTTACTGCCACTCAGAGCGTAAAATTTCTAGGACATATTATTGAACTTGGAGGCAGCCATCACTGCTTACCATGGAACGTTTCACTGTATTATGACTTACGGTCAAATTAACTGAGGACAATCTTGCTACACTCAGTCGATATTTACTATCCAGAAAAGAGCCATTAGAGCTCTTGCCGGTATAACTCAGACTGAAAGCTGTAAACCATGGTTCATTAACAAAATGATTTAGACTTGTTCTTGTTCCCATGGATCGTTTGGTGGTTCCGATGTATACTTTCCCACAAGTGCAAGGTTTGCGATAGACCCCTGCTACTGATAATGGGTCTCTTTTGTCTTTAGCCGACCTGAGGCTTTGTTGTATCTTCCTTGTGGGTTTGAAAACTGTTTCGATGTCGTGTTTATCCAATAGTTTTCCAATTCTGTCCGTGACCCTAGGTATAAACGGTAGATATGCGCGTGCAACCATCTGATCCTTTTTCGCTTTTCGAACCGTGATGTTCTTCGGTTTCATGGCTTTCCTGATCTCGGAGGCATTGTATTCATTCGATCTCAAGGTCACTTTAAGGTATTTCAGTTCCCTCTCCAGATGTTCTGGTTCACATATTCTCCGAGCCCGTTCCGTTAGAGCGGAGATGACTCCTCTCTTTTGGCTAGGATGGTGGTTCGGTAGTGCGTGCAAATATCTATCCGTCCAGATGACGAAGGTGTCGTCCACGTAACGTAGCCACAAGGTCGGCTTCAATTCAAAAGTGTCTATCGCTTTCCAAGAAAGCGATAGACTGAGTGGACTCCCCATCGCAACGCCATCTAGTTGCTCATACAATTTTCCCCTCCATTGAAAGTAACTTCCTGTGAGACATGCTCTAAAGAGTTCGACGACGTCATTCGGGAGTTGGTCTTTCCCACATGAGGTTGTAGGAGCGAGGCCAGATGTCTCGCCAAGTGGTAGGTCGGAGAGTTCGGGGTACTGACTATCGGTCTGAGTGGTATGTTGGTTTCGAAAATACACAAAACCAACATGCCACTGAGACCGATAGAATAGAATAGATCAGAATATTCATTTCGCACAAGAGACAAATTACAACATTTGTATAGTACATGTCAGAAGGAATAGTATTAATTTTCATCCCATTACATCGGGAAGTGATTTGTTAAAAACATTAAAAGGATTACGAACAACATATAACATATTGCTAGAGACAGTTATCTCTTGAAAGTGCCCTCATCCACATCTTCCACACCATATGGTTCAGCTGCAATGAGCATTTGTTTTAGTTTGTGTTTAAATACATTGTGCACTTTAATGTCTTTTATGTTTTCAGGAAGTAAGTTGTAAAGTTTTAGACATTTATAAAAACAGCCTTTTTCTAGGAGTGTAGTTTTATGTTGAGGGTAGCAGAATATATTCTTATTTCTCGTGTGGTGCGAGTGGTCATTTCCATAACGTATAAATAGTGATTTATTTTTGAAGACATAGTTCAGACACTCTAACACATATACAGCTATTAGAGTGAGAAGGTTCAGATTTTTGAAATATCCTCTACAAGATTAATTTACTCTTAGTCCAGCTAGAATTCTAATTGCTCTCTTTTGGATTCTAAAGACATCTTCATTGTGTGTGCCGCCCCAGAATATAATTCCGTAGCACATGATGGAGTGAAAATGACCGTAATATGCCGTTCGTAGGGTAGTCTGATTGACGACATTTTGGAGTTCCTTCAAAGAGTAGCAAACTCTAATAAGCTTTCCGCAGAGCAGTTGAATGTGTTTCATCCAGCACATGTGTCTATCAATGATGACCCCCAGGAATTTGCGTGTTATCGATTTCGATGTGTGCTGGGAAATCTCGTGTATTTCAACTATGCTTAAAAAGTATGCAGTTTGTTTTTTCAGTGTTTAGTATTAGTGAGTTTTTTTGGAACCAATCTGATAGTAGGAGTACAGTGTTATTTGTTTTTTGAGTCAATTCTTGATAGTTTTTTCCAGCAATTAGAACGTTTGTGTCATCGGCATAATTTGTTAATATAACGGATTTATCATGGACTATATATGGTAGATCGTTTACATATAAAATGAACAGAATTGGTCCTAATATACTGCCCTGTGGCACTCCCCTTGATATTAAAGCAGTTTCTGAGAGGGGATCTAATGAATTGTCCTTTATGCATACCCTCTGGGTGCGACCTGTGAGGTAGGATCTAAACCAATCCTGTGCAGGGCCACGTATACCCGGTACCCCGGGCTCTCCGGGGTACATGTTTGACAAACATGTAAATAAATTTTATAAAATTTGAAATTTGGCATCCAAAAACCAGTGTCGTGAAAATGTATAGTAATTATTGAGAAATCCAATATGTATATTTTAATCGTAATGATCGCAATCATGGTGGCACTGCCGTTTTTGTGAAGAACCATCTAGTTACAATATCAAAGCCAATAAACTTCCATGGCAATGTAGAAAAGCATTTTGAAGCCACTATAATATGTACAGAATTTACCAAAGGCAGACCTAAAATGTTTGTAGTAAATATTTATCGTACACCTGATAGTGATATTAAAATATTT